TTAGACCGGCGTCACTAATCACGTCACGCCCTGTACCGAAAACCATGGCCAAGCACAATCGGCCTCGTCGTAAAAATTAAATAGGAACGAAATAAAGAAGAGAAAAATACTGCTAACAGAAAGCAAAATTTTAACATGTCTGAGGCTTATTGCGCGGATAATTATAGGAAAGCACGAGCCGATTAAGCATCCACCAATCTGACCTTTCAACCGCGGAGAAACAATCGAGTAATTAATTAGCCGACCACGTTCAAACAACATCTGACAGTAGCTGACCGGTCGCGGTTCTATACTATGAAGTCTGCATTATACTCTCCGTCCCAGCCTACGGTGGTCTAAAGCCCAATGGCCATCAGGTCCAATCAGGAGCCTTTTAAAACTGTTCCGTCGAACGTATCAGTGCGCCAAGACGCGTCATGCGGAGGCGAGTTTTTCGTCTGCTTATCGAGCCCTCGCGTGGTCTCCGTCTGCTCGCTACCACTGAAGACTACTGAAAGGATTAATACCGTCTGGAACCGATTGGGGCGACGAGAACCCGGGATCAGAACCAGTGGCCATTAATGAGTAGGATCGCGCGTTCGACACGGGCACGCAAGTACGGACCACGTGCGGAAGGGAGATACGAGTAAGGGTGCCTACACAAGGACTGGATTGGATTGTTATGGCCAAAGGCGAAACTACTTCACGCCAGGCCGCGCGCCCTCCAACTTCTCCAAACAGCTGACAAGTTTACGAAATATGGCCACGAATGTTTATGAAACTGAATACCAAGTACCTTACTTCGCCGATATAAAATAGGGCGCTGTCACAACAGAGAACCATATGCGCAAGATTGGTGCTCTTCGTGTTCTTCGCATCGGAATTTCTTTCGCGCACTCATTCGCAATGCCAATGCGAGCTTTTCCGGGGTAGTGCTCCGCCCGTCAGCCTTCAGGCCCTAGTCCACCCTATGGTGAGATGGGCTATAGGTACGCTACAGCCTACACGCTAGGCTAAACTGGGCTACCCTCTACTCGCAACTAACTAACGCAAACAAACAACTAAGACAAGACGCACTCCTCAGCATTCAGGAAAAGCACGACCTCAAATATACGAAGACTGGGTAACCCCCCTCAAAGAAAACTCAAACAGGATCAAGATCCTGGACTCTTTACTCACTTCACACACCTCATCTAACCCCCTTTCCTCCTCACACCCTTCCATCTCTCCCTAATCATCCCGTCACACCAGATGACTTCAGTCAAGGGGTGTGGAAGAACCCAATCCTTTTAATAAACGTTTTCTGATCTGATCTACTCGCAGAAAAAAAAATAGAGAGGCACGGCTGGATTTTCCATTCACGCTTCCGCGCCAATCTTTGACCGAACGCCGTGCAAATACGTCATGCCTCACCGACGACGAGCGAACCTATATCATATGGTCGCATCAACTAACGTTTATGTTACTTTTTTTTTTTTTTTTTTTTTTTTACGCACTTGCGGTTTTTTGTTATGCATTGGCGGTGCGCGCACGACTCGAAACTCGAGAGATGCCTAAGCGTTATCGAAGGTAAAAAGCGCGCGCACGCACGCACGCACGCACGCACGCACGCACGCACGCACGCACGCACGCACGCACGCACGCACGCACGCACGCACACACACACGCACGCACACACACACACACACACATCAATCGTTTCGGTTGCCGCCTCTACCGAACCAACTAGCGTTTGTCACGGAACAACTGGATGTCACGAGAGTCCGAAAATTTCCTTTCCACTTTGGACGAACGCCGACGGTCGTAGAAAGTACACGAGGTGCGGCTCTTTGGAGCGGCCCAACCCATATTTGGTGGAAACTAATGTCCCACCGTATAACCGTGCGCTGCAAATTCGACCTTGGAGCGGAAAGAGAACGAACATGAACCTAAAAAACCCGCAGTTCTATTCATCATAGTCATACGTAATACAAAAAGACACGGTGTTTGCTGCAGTGACTGATTTCACCTGCGGACGCACCTCACGCACGTTGGAGGCATATATGCTGCATACATATTTGTCGATCATGCCTGCGGGGCCGTTTTTGTAAGAGCAACGTGACAAGACGTTCGTAAAAGGAAGAAACATACCTCAGGCAGTGACTGCCCCCTTTTGTATGGAGTATTGGCGGTGGGACCGCGCCTCAAGTTCTAACAGACAAGCACAACAATGGGAAAAGCGGCGCTTAGACGCGATCCCCCATGGCCTTCCTTTGCGACGTCACGAGCAGAGCGCTACGGCCTTAATTTCTAGGAGGTGTTGGATGAACGCCATGCGTAAACTTCCTCGATAATGGCTTCCCACAAGTAGCGGCATTCTTTGAAGCGCCGACTGCGTGACGGTGCAGCTTTTAAAAAAGCGAAGCGCAGAGCAGAAGACTGAACTGAATGACGCCATTTTGTTCCAGCGGAATGTGCTTTGTCATTTGTATTCGTTGTCGTTACTCGTAAAAATAAGTATTGAGGGACTTGAGCTATACGGAGTAGCGACAAGTCCTCCTTTCCCGCCCTCCTCCCGTCGCTCCTGTTGACTGCTAGCGCGCGGTCCGCCATGTTCTTCCCAACTCGTTCACCGTGGCCGTGTTCGAAATCTTCCGAGTTACTCCGGCGGGTCGTATCACGTGACAATTCAGGCAGAACAACGTAGGACGCGGGTAGGTTTTTGAATGCCAAGGAACCAAGCCGTTACTCGAGAGTGAGGCCGAGTCTAATCCGCCATGTTCTTCCTAACCGGAAACGGAACGCGGGCCAATGGGAGAGCGCGTTGGCACATCAATCGGTTTCGCTACTTTAGCAAAGCGTTAATCGGGGCACTTCATGTAATCCAACCTGCCGGTTTACAAAAGGACAAATGCCTCCGCCAGGATACCATCCCTGCCATCACTAAGCCAGACGGTGAAGGAAAGAAACAAAATTAACAAAAACGTTTTGTTTTTCTAATTTTGAGTGTTTACGGCAGTAATAAAAAAAAAGAAGACAGCGAAAGGTGATGTGTAGCGTCGCTAAAAGAACGCGAAACTAAAAGAAGAAAAAGAAGCCGAATTCGGCCGTGACTACATTCTTAACCACGCCCACACGGCCACATTTAAACGGTCTCGTCATACCTGCACCTACTCCTCGCGTGCGAGCGCGCACACACAGGCACACCGACACGCAGCTTTCCGTCTCAATAATCAAGCCCGAGATACCATCTCGAACCAGCGTCATCAACGGAGAAAAGAGCTCAGAGCCGAACGAACGTGAGCAGGCAAGCAGCATCCGCGGCGGCGCCTTCCAGGTTATTAATCGACCGGAGACACACGGCAAAGGCCAAGGCTCGGGTAAACAAATATCTCGGCTTGACCTTGAAGCGCGCACTAGAAGCGACCCAACGCACTTGGGGTACACGGGGGCCCCTTCTCGAGCGGCACTTGGGCACCGAGGACTTTGAAAAGTTAGCTCAAGGCTGCGTAGTGTCAACCACCTTAGAATGTAAGCTGCCTATGGCGGTGCTTTTAGTGTAGTCCTTCATTAATTTCTCCGGTGCAAGAAAATCCATAAAAACAACACGCTAATTAAAACAAATTCTTGATTTATTTATTTTTTCTTAATGAAATATTGGGTCTGGGATACAAAACAATAATAAAAAAAGTTATTCACCGTCAATCTTTGGAGGCAAGCGATCATCAATGTACTTTCAGGGCCGAAGGTTACAAAAATCGTGTCCCATTAAAATACAGGGTCGTTCGTGTTCAGAACAACGTTGCATCCATTCCCCTCAAACGTATAGTGACCAGCGGACAAATGGTGGAGCTCATTTCGCCGAACAACCTTGGGTAATTACGATGAACCGAACACGAGGATTTGTTTTGAACCGAGCACCGACTGCTAGGCGTACCAGTCGGAGTTAGGGGAAACAATCCAGCAGGCAGCGAATGGAGCGATCTACTGGTCGACCGACGCCAATAGACCAGTCGATTCACTGGTCTACGAAAGCAGGTGGAACCCAGACCTTTGCAAAAACGTCATCCGGCAAGATACTGTGCACGATGAACCAGGACACCGCCCCCAGAGACGCTGTTCACCAAGCTGTTTTCTCTCGTCGTGCGAATTTTACCAACTATACTGAACACGTCCACGACGAGTCCACGTAGTATTACTACCTTAACTACGTCAGTGTGTTGAACCAGTTCCTGCGAGAGGGTTCATCAGTGTCGTACTTGCTCTTCAATTTTTTTGTTTTTTCTGGTTGCAAGGGAAGATTAGCTAGAGCATCTGTGTCTGCTCTGATTTATGGGCGTCGCCATGTTTGTTTATGCTGACGCCCCGACACAGTAGGGCTGGGCTACACCCTCGCACACATCGTAGTGCAAGAAGTTCAGAAATGCGTAGTCACTAAGCTCCAAGAACAACACCGATGCCAAGAGTGCTGCAAAGATTTAAAAAAAAAACTTGTTCTATGCGCAGTCCCTCTCTTTACAAGAGCCTGCGCTGGAGATGATTATCTGTCGTTGTCGCTGGGTATGGTGCCTGGAACGCGTCTCCGACTGGTGTGTTCACCGCGGCCAAAAAAGTGGTCCCTCGATTTCCGCCTGATGACGTCGTACAAGTGTCATGCTGTCGCCGGTCGCGACCCTGGCGGCGTCTCAACAGTTGTGATATTAATGGCAGACGCCTGTTCTGCCGCAGGTCGCTCTCTACTGTGACAGTTCACGGAAGCTAGAGCAGCCGGAAGTTGGGACGCCGTGACGACAGCGACACACGTGTTCGCTCATGCTTTTCGCCAGCATTTCTACGGCCAACCGCCAGGATCGCGACAGGCAACAGCATGACACTCCGGCTTCGGTGACGTCATTTGTTGCCACATTGGGACCACTTTTGATGTATGGGCGGGATAGGACGCTAAACACACCAGTCGAAGACGCGATCCAGGCACCTTACGCTGGGGGTCCAGGATTCCGGACACTGGTCTACATGAGCTCGGCTGGAAGGAAAGGACTCACATGTTCCCCTGGGGCTGTACGTCTCGTAGCTGGAGCAGGAGACGGGCGACAGTCCACTGCTGTTGTTGTTGCTGTGGCTGGCGCTGTTCAGCGACAGTCCGGCGCCGTTGAGCAGCGGCGGCGGCGGCGACAGCGAGCCCACCGACATCTGCGACGACGGCGACGAGATCCAGGCGCCGGCGTCATCCTGCCGCAGTCGCTTGGACGGCGAGAAGGCCGACGTGGCCGAAGGGCCCGACAGGTCGCTACCCACGCACGGACTCGGGAGCCGGGGCTCCACCTGGACACGAACCCCGGGGGCCTCGCGGTTAGACCACACGGACGGCGACAACTTTCGACAAACCTCCAAGTTCGGCAAAACTTACACGAAGACTTCTTGAACGCTGTATCGGGACCTCTACCCTACAGATTACATATATATATATATATATATACAAATGAAAAAAATAAATAATTATAGCAAGTCCCTTTTTAAAGATTTTATAATGTTTACAAGCTCGATATTTTCATTACAGAGTTGGCCAAGGTTAGAGAATTTATAAATCGGAGCATAGCTTCCTCTATACTCAAGAAGTCTGGCAGTTCGACGACGGAGCCATAGAGTGCCCGGTCGCAGATTCGGAGCGCGAGGATCTGGTATAGCACAGAGCATGAAAGAGCCATTTCTCGGAGAACCTAGACGCCAGCGCACAGCTTTAGCAGCGACGACGACCCGAAACACACCTGTTCGCTCGTGAGAAGTGTGTTTCAGCGTCTCGCCGCAGCGGGGCGCCAGTCACGCAGCTCTCCTCTCTTCCGTTGTCTGGTGCTCCACTTTTTTTAACATTTCGGCGACCGCTTCTCGTGGCTATCTGCCAGGCTTTGTCAGTATATAGGACACTATGACCAGAGAGATTCCAACTGCTCGATATGGGGTCACGTGGTTTATGCGTCGCGTTTACAACGCGAGCTACGAGGAAAGCGTTGATCGTCTGCAAGCGTCTCAACCCTCTTCCCGCTCCCTTTCCTCCTATACTCAAAAGCGAAATGAGAAATCACGTGGTCGTGACGTAGTATTTCACCTCAACCAATGACTCCGAGCTTCCACCGTGCTTTCTAGACACACCATGGAACTTGTCATTCGCAGGTAATGACAAGTGCCTTCCCAACACTCATTGGCCACGAACGCGAATTCAAATATTCGTCGACGGATTGATTGCAGACGAGCGCGTACGTCCGAGTGACGCAGGGCTCGTGCCCAATGCGCGAACTGGGTTCGGGCCCACGTGCTTGGGCACCGCAGATGAATTACAGGAAAGGAGGTAACAAATAGTGCGTTATATTTTCACAGTTTCGTACCAAAAAGCAGGCTTTTCTTTGCTTTTGCTTTCTACTTTAGTGTGCTAGTTTTATTTTAGGCCATTAAACGATATGCGATTAGTAAAATCCCAATCTAAAATCATTTATTCCTGCCCAAAAATAATTTCATGGTCACCTTTAAATTGTAAACACTAAGACCATTTCTCCTAGATGAAGGCGCATTTGATGTCGCAAGTAGTATCGCAAAACCTTCGCTCTAGTGAAAGGCAGTTCCAGGGTCACCTCATAGATGGCGCCAGCGTCTTCTCTCGTCGTCAAAGATCACAACTCTATCGTGAACAAAGGCCAAGTGTGTGAACGGGCCTCAAAGCTTCGTTCGTAGAGAACCGTCGAATTTCCGAAAGCCGCAGAAAAGCTAGAACAGCCACTGCTAGGACTAGCAGACGACGCCGCCGTTGGGCGTCTGAATGCGGAGCGAGGAGCGGGCTACGGATGGACGCAGCGGGTAAGCTCTGACGAGGAGGGACACTCACCTTGACGACGCTGGGCAGGTTGGGCGATAGCGCGGGCGGCGAGGCCCTGCCAGCGAGGGCCCCGCCGGGCCCAGCCCCGGCCGCCTGCAGCAGCACGGGCTTCATGCCCAGGGCCCAGGCGTGCACGGCGCCGTCGCCCCGCCTGGGCGGGGGCTGGGCCGGCAAGCGCAGCCGGGGCGCGAGCGGCTGCAGCTGCGGCTCAGAGAGCATCCAAGGGGCCCTGGACCCCCGAGGCCCCCCGTCTCCAGAGCATCCGCCGGACCTCGACGCAAACCCTGGGCACAAGAGGGAAGGAAACACGCCGTTTACAAAGAACCCTTCTCAGGCACAGAAACCGCATTCGCGTGAGGGAAAACGTTTGCCATCTCCAAACAGATCTACTCAGAGGCACCTGCCAGACCACTCTTACGCTATCCAGAGACAAGCGTCGGGACTTGTCACGGTAGAAACTCGAGGAGAGGCTCAAATGGGTAGATCAAAGAACTCCCAGTGGTGTAGAAAATAAGTCGGATAGCTTCTTTAAGGGTTCGGGGAAGTGGACTCGCGTCGCACCTAACACGCAAGGAAAGAGCTACACACCAACAAGCTGCTTGCAAACAAGTGCGCGTTTGCTCCCACAACACGTGCGCATGCGCAGAAACTAGATTCGTGTGAGATGAAGCGCCTGCAAATGCGCAGGGCCGACGGCAGTGCAGTGACGTCAGTGAAGTTGGAAGTGTCCAAGGAAAGGCCGCGCACCATGTTTGCCACGAATTAAGGGAACCTTCTGTATGCTCGTTCTACACGCCAGACTCAAACCCATGACTATACCCTTTCAGCACCCTTATTTCGATCTACTACACCTTTTTCAATCGTAAAATAGGGTGCTGTTACATTGAACACCCTTCGGTTTCGAAGGCTGTAATAAGGGTGTGAAAAAGGCTGTTGTGGGACGAGCGCCGACCCCTTTTGAATAGCGTTTGTCGCACTGACACCCGCTTTAGCGCAGTTATACACCGCACCCGCCTCCCCTCCCTCCCACCCACCCACACACAGACATCGAAATATTTTCTTTTTTTTCGTTGGAAGGGGCCTTCAGCAGCAGAAGCCACCCTCTATCATCCCCTTTCCCTCCCCCGCCCTAGCTACGTCACTGTACAGGGACGGCCTCGCTTCTTTGCATAAGCTTCATGGGCTCTTGAAATCATGACCGATTGGAGCGCTGCGATCGCTCGATGGTGACGTTGTGACCAGTTTCGGGTGGCGAGGTTTTTCTCCACTTCGCTTTCCTTCCGATCGTTCTGATGTGTGCTTTAGCGCGTATAGCACTGGTCGCCAAGTGCATTCTGTTTTCGCCATCGCGCAAAACGTTCGTAGGACAAAATCTGGAGACTAATGCGAATACTCAAGAATTAAAAAGAGCGCAAACAAGACGAAGGACAAGAGAAGTAGACAGACAGAGCGCTGACTCTCAAGTGAACTTTATTGACAAGCAACATATAAAATTCGTCGTGACTAAATAGGACGCAAGCCTTATCACGTTGTCATGCACTGCGACTGTCATACACGTGCCCCCAGGAACGCCAGTTCTTTATCAAACAGAGTGATTGAGGGCGCACTCACGCCTCGGCAATCTCCCTCGTTGTTTGCTATTTATTCACGGCGATGTTTTGTGCGTTGCTTTTCAATAAGGTTCAGTTGAGAGTCAGCGCTCTGTCTGTCTCCTCTCGTCCTTCGTCTTGTTCGCGCTGTTTTTAATTCTTTAATACGCGAAACCCAACTCAGTCTCCACCCTACTAGAATACGAATACGCCAAGCGAAACGATCGGAAGTTGAGTGTAAGTTACGACGATATCCTACGATAGCTTCACGGCCGCCACCACCGATCGCATACTTCGCCATGGAGACTAACTTCTCGGTGGAAAGGTCTAGCAAGGTAGTAGTCACTCGCTGCCTACGACCAGTGGCCTAATTAAATAAATATAATCGCGCGACCTTTCTTTTTTTTCAGTTGGACTTGATTTGTACGAATAACTTGAACCTTGCCCTCGATCTTCCGGTTAGAAGGCGAGTCTCTTCGTCGTCCCCTTGCCATTTCCGGAGTGTTGTGCGGCGGTGGCAGACGCTCTTGGTCGCAGTAACGCACTCGTCAATGTCGAGGGAAGGCCCGGCCTCTTTGTATCAGCTTCGGGTGCTCTTGGGCTCATGATAATAACCAGGTTCGGGGGAAGTCGATCTGGGTCACCGCTGCTCAATGGGCGCAACCGGACGTAGCTCGCCTGGCTGCCAAAGTCGATCGGGGGTTATTTTCTCACGTAAAAGCGGCGTCCATTCCACGTAAGCGTGATTTTAGCGCGTGAAACAGGAGGGGAAAAATGACGTCGGTAACCCAGCAGCGGCGCAGAAAAGCATCGTGAACACAAGAAACGTCGCACGAGCATTTCTCACTGCGTTATCACGACCGATGTCCAAGCACGTATCAACGCCGGCCAGCTACTTCCTAAACGCCGGATGATCGATTTTTTTTATTTTTCGTGTATATTACTTTCAACTGATCCGTCGATGTATGGTTTTTTCGTGAAATACACCATAAAAAAAAAAAAAAGAACAGTATAGTACGAATGGAGGAACAGGAATAAATTCAGAGCACTTTGTTCTGGGTTCCCAAAAAGAAGAGAACCAGAGACAAAAAAGTAACCGACGCTTCCTGCTTCAGCGTTCTTACCGATTAATCCCGCGATTCGATTGGCTACAGAGCGTTCATAACATGCACACGACTGCTTTTCTTAAGCGGTCAGTGATCACAGTGGAACCATAGAAGCAAATATTGAGCACAAGGATAAACCACAAAAAGAAAAAGGAGATAACGCGTACGAAGATCTTCAGAGCTCACGCACCTCGCGGCAGTCGTACTCGCAGCAAACAAAGAGAAAAAAAAAAATTATTTCAGCAGTTTAAAATTGTGTCGCTTGTATGTTTAGACAGCATCGATGCAGTACGCCTCAACGGGTGACCCGTCTCCTAGCTGCAGACGAGAAATTTAGCCAGTGCAGTACTACCGCTATTCTGGGGTCTGTAACGTGCACCATGCAGTGCCGTGATTACACGAACACGTGCCGGTACGGAACTCGTCCAGATCGAGACGGGATCGAACCCAGGAGGTTCTGCAGAGCAAGCGTTGGCCCACTCGGCCACCGATCCCCCCTCCCCCCCCCCCGACCCCCAGCAGTTGTCGGTCAACGAAAGGAATGCGGGAAAGCAAACACTCCTACACTCTAATAGAGGTCTATGGGGTGACTTTCCTGCAGATCTGGATGGATGGATTTAACGGCTGTACCCTCTATAACGGACGGTGGTAGTTTGGGCCACGTAACCTAGACAAGAAAAATAATAATAATCGCCGATATGCGCAGGGACGATGAACATGACGTTCATTTCACTTCTTCATTGCATCGCATTCTGGGCTTCGTGATTCGCTGGGATCTTCATAATGTTGGCGTGATTAGCGGCCCCCGTGTTCTACAGAAATATTAACTCACACCTTCCTTTTTTTCTTTTTGTGTACGAACGTTTGTCAAATGAAAGCGCGGGTGGAAAAAAAAGGGGGGGGGGGGGGGAAACTAGAACTCACCATCTGTCGCCTTTCGGCCGAAACCCGTGGCAGCATGAAGCCACCGCCAAGCCTTGTGAGGCGAGGCCCCAATCCCAAGCTCCTCCAGCATCACGATCGGGGTGCAAGCGGTCAATCGAAAACTCCGGAGTCGAAACCCCAACCGCGTCTTCTCTTCGAACCACGAGTTGTTTCGGGTAACCTTCGCACGCACCTATCACTCCGACGGTCGCTGACAGGATGGACGACTACGACACGACCGATCAACCGTGTCCGAAAAACTATCGTTTGCATAACCAACCCACGGCGTTATCGACAAAAGGCAATGGTGCTGGTTAGTGACTCGGTTTACGTCAGGGAGCGGCTGCGGGGAAGGCTTAGTTCCGGTGACCCAGTAGAGAACAAACACACACCCATCGACTATGGTGACACAACGAGACCACTCCGCTTATTGTGACCTGAGATGCAAAACGGAGAGGACTGCGCCTTCCTTCTTTCGCCTTTCGGACGGCACACACGGAACTAAAGGATCCCGAGATAATCTCGACGATTCTGACTTCCCCTACATTTTCGCTAGGGTCCATCTGCACTCAAAAGAGTGACCCTGAAAATCCTCAATGGTCGTCACGTAACCGATAACCACGAAAAAAAAAAAAAAGAACCCTTCCCGCAAGGCACAGACAATCCAGAAAAAAGCGAAACATAAGCCGAGCTAACACCCCCCCCCCCCCCCCCCCCCAAAAAAAAACCCGAAAAAAGAAAAAAAAAAAAAAAGGAGCCGTAAAAAAAATACAAATTCCTCAGCTTCTCAGGGGACAAGAGAGTGCAAGTGCCGCGACCGCTCCCATCCTCTGGACTTCCCAAAGCCTTCCAACACTGTTCTCTTGGCACGCCCGATCCACGCCATCGATCCATTTCCCAGAGTTCAGGGCCGCTCGTTTCCGTCCTTGGACTTCTATTCGACGCCCAAATCCTTTTAATTCCTCTTTCCGTCGTTCCCTAGTTTCAGCGTGGTTTCTGGATTGCTGCTCATGCCAGCAACCATGCGACCTTCGCAACCTTGTTAGGCTAGCAGCGATGTGATTGGTTCAAATAGTTCTAAAACACCTTTCGGACAAGAAAAAAAAAATCTTTTGGAAGACAAGCATTATTAACTTTGCCGCAAGATACTATGCTAAGGCTCGTGTCCTGTCTGTCTAAATAATATACAGTACTTCGCCACTTAGAATAGAATAGAATAGTTTTATTTCCAATCCATACATTTTCAAACAGTACAATGATGAGCCGGTGTAAGCCTCAAGGGGTTGTGTACCTGCGCTTCTCCGCACCGCAAAGCATAATTAAATTGCAAAGGTAGATCTTACATGTAGATTTACGATGGCGCAGATCAGCGTGTAAAAAATAAGTGTACCTTCACAAAATTCAGTCGACCTTATTATTAAACCCCCTTTGGTGAAAAGGGAGGGGGGGGGGGGGGGGGGCTATTTTACATTTTAGAAATAGCTGACTCCACCTAGCAGAAAACTGGGTTCGAAGATTCAGGGGATGAAAAAATGCGCGGATTAAAAAGGAGAGGGAAAAGAAGCGTCTTAGAGGTTAGGACGTACTTGGAGCCGAAAACGCCACAATAGCAACGAGAGACCTTGGGTGAGCCCAATATAGGTCACTGCGGCTCGAAAGAGTCAG